AATTTGGAAACATTTCATGCACAAACTGTAATTGGAATTATGTAGGTTGAGCTCACAGTGTTCATTCACCTGCTGTTCAATTGGAGAGCTATCCAAAATACCATTAACCCTGTATTAGGAAGACTCTTGAAAACCTTTGGGGACACTGAAATATTCCACACGGGATTAAAACAGTCTAACCTGCAACATTACACTCTCCATGACCCCATTCCTCAGTACTGCACTATGGGCACCCCACAGATGAGGACAGCTGCTAAGAAGGCTGGGATGAAGGGATCTAGGCAGGAATGGAGGACTAGCCATTATCACATAGAAGAAATCACTGAAACAGGGTTGGGAATTTTTCAAAGAAAATTTTTTTCATCAGAAAACGTTGATTTGTCAAAACAAAAACTATATGCAAGAAAGGGTAGGTTCTGACAAACTTCCTGCTTCAATGTTTAAAAAAATATTCAAAAATAATCAAAATGCTCCATTTTCATATCTTCAAACAAAAGCTTTTTTTTAAATGATTTTGTTTAAAAAATTATACTTTATACTAAAAAAGATTAAAAGGTCAAAACTGAAACAAAATGCTTCACCATTATTGAAACAGAATGTTCCAATTGATCCAGTCCAAATTTATCTATGTATTTAGATTATCAGTATGTGAGAAAGATTTGAGATCTTGATTTTCATACAGTTCTGGAAGAGAGAGAAACAAATTCAAATCTCAAACTCTAACAGGCTGTGGAAAATAATTTCCAGGCCAGCTCCAGCTGTGTGGCCTATTCTGGAATGCAAAGTAAATTGGCCAAGAGGTCAGAAAGGAAAGCACTAAAGGGAGTCTGAAGTTGTGGGGGTGTCCAGAAGAGCAGTTATAGGAGATTTTAAGTCTTTGTCCTCAATAAAGTCAACTTTGCCCCATTAATTTGTAAGTTTTCTGTCAAGTGTACATCTTCATTAAGCCAGTTTAATGCTGTCCAAATTATCTTGCTGGGTTGAATAAATAGTCTATGTTCTGTAACGGCTGTTCTACACAAGAAAATTAATCCAAATTAACTAAGGTTATGGCAACACTAGATAGTTTACAGTGGCACAGTAGCACCAATGCAGTTGTGCTGCTATAAGATCTCTAATAGACCTGCTCTAAGCCAACAGGAGTGAGTGTCCCTGTCAATTTAATTAATCCATCCCCAATGAATGGCAGTAGCTATCTTGGCAGGAGAAGCTATCCCACCAACACAGTGTTGTCTACACTGGCACTTAGGTTGGAGTAATTTACGTCACTTGGGGGTGGCTTATTCACATCTTTGAGCAACATAAGTTACACTGACATAAGCAGTAGTATAGACATAGCCTTAAAGTGTACATTTGAGGTTGACTAGTTAAACTGTATTAAACTCCTTAGTAAACACCATCATTCAGAAGTAAAGTGACCTCAATAGTTTATCCTAATTAATTTCCAAAGTGACTAAACTAAAGTGCATTCAAAACACCTAGGCCACATGTACACTGTAGGCTTCTTGTGCAAGAACTGTTTTGTGCAAGAGTTCTTGTGCAAAAGGTCTTCCACAAGAACGCGTCCACACTGCCATGTGCTTTTGTGCAAGAGATGTGTTTTTGCGCAAGAGCATCCATGGCAGTGTGGATGCTCTCTTGCGCAAGAAAGCTCTGATGGCCATTTTAGGGCTTTTTTGCGCAAGAAATTCATGTTGCCTGTCTACACTGCTTTCGTGTGGAAGAGCTCTTGTGCAAGAGGGCTTATTCCTCGTGGGGAGAGGAATAACTCTTCCAGAAGAAGCCCTGTTTTCCGATGCTGTACTGTAAATTTACTTACGCAAGAACGCGCGTGCAGTGTAGACGCTCTGCAAGTTTTTGCGCAAGAACAGATATTCTTGAGCAAAAAGCCTGCAGTGTAGATGTAGCAACAGGGATTTGATGTGGTTTAACTAATCTACTTCAAATTCATACCTTTAGTTAACTTAGATTAATTTTCCTGAATCTCCCCATGTAGACAAGCCCTAATATACTCCCAAATAATAACAGTAGGAAAGCAGACATTATTAAAACCAAAGGTAAATTATTAAGACTTTGCCTTATTGTAGTAATTCCTGTTTTATGTATCGTTTTAAACATACATTATCATTGGGATTTAAATAACACAGATTTCCTAAATATAGAGAGCTCCTTAAATGGATTTGCTAGTTACATTTTTAAAAAGAGACATTATTAAGACACAAAATCCTAACCCTTTATTGTCAGGAATATACCATTTTACACTTTTTAAAAAATGAGATGCATGAGAAAAGTAGAATGTTTTGTCAGTAAAAATATCCATTAATCTTATCATCTGTACAAGTCTACCTCTTACCAAGATTGCTAAACTTTTCAGCCTGGTTCTTAGCAGTTTCCTAGGATTTAGAGTCAGTGGTAATATTTACAGATAGTTAATTCTGTGACATGATGGTTGATTGTTAGTTTGATTTTTTTATACACATTGGTATTTTTCCATTTGAATCATAATCTTCATTTTGGAGTGGAACTTTCCAGTAATTACACTAATACTTATTTTGCAAGCACATTTTCTCTGTGTTAGACCATACTCAATAATGACCCTTCCCAATCCAGGCAAGGTTTGCATTGGAACTACTCGACCTGGGAGGACTGACTGATACACTATTTGTAAAACATGTCAGTTCAATTCCTAGATTTGTCAAGCAAAGGCCACTACCAATGTACTGGTACAACCCACTTCTTCCATCCCCCAGCTGGAATGTGCTATTTCTCAGGTGCTATCTCTCAACACCACATTCAACTCCCATTAAAGTCAGTGTAAAAATGTATATTGGTTTCAATGGCCTTGTCTTTACTGGGGAAAATGGTTCAATAACTAACATGAGGTAAAATCCTAGTGAAGACATGGTAATTGTACCTCTAACACATGATACCAGACCAACTAAAAGCTAGGTTCCCCCATGGTGTTTGGTGTGATCGGCTGACACATGAAAATTGCCTTTTCTCCTTGTGTTAGTAGCCATGTATCTGTTAATATGAGGTAAGAATGCACCTTTTTCCCCAGTGAAGATGAGAACTGGAAAAAAACCCAAACCTTTAGAACATGAGAGGCTGAGTCCAGGGTTCTAATCCATTTTTTTCTGAACAAAATCAAAACCAAAACACTCTTGTGTTAAGGATGTTAAATACTGGTTAATTGAATAGTCAATTAACTTCACGAATTCTTATCAGTCACTCGATTGTTCTATAGTCCCCAGGGGCGGGGCTAGCAGCCAGTGCGCCCCACTCCCGAGGAGCCCCCTGCCACTCCAAGCTGCTGCCTCTGTGTCAGAGGCAGCAGTGCGGGGTGCCAGGTGGGAGCTGGTCCATGAGGGGAGCCAGTTTAAAACCCAGCTCCCCTCATGGACTGGCTGCCTGCCTGATAAAGAGGCAGCAACATGGGGTGGCAGCAACCTCTGTCCTGTGAACTCCCAGACTCAGTGCGAGCCGGAACTGAGCCAGGTTGCCTGCCTGCCTGGCTCCTAATACACTTTAAATGCAGAGCCACAGCGGGGATAGGTCCCGGACCCAGCACAAGCCAGGATTGAGCCGGGCTGCTGGGGGGAGGGGGAAGGAGGAATGTGTGTAGTCTATTGCATTAACCTATAAGCTTTTGCTTATCGATTAATCAGTCAATCGACTACACTATTGCATCCCTATCTTGTATATAACCTGGCAATAATGACTACAGGAAAATATATGATATCACAGATGAGGAGACTAGAGATCATAAAGTGTGTAAGAGGGTAATGGAAGTAGGCAAAGGGACACTAGGAAAATATCTGAAGTAGCAGTGTTTAGAAATGTGTTGACTACATATTATAAAATCAAAATATTATTTACATATGTAATGAAGGTTACACTCATTTTCATAAACTGTATTTTAAAAGGAATCAGGCTGGTATATTATACAAGGTCTATAATCTGGGATAGACCCACATCTTTCCAGTTGGTGAAATCAAACATCCAGAGGAGAACTGATCCTTCAGCCAGCTCAGCCTCAGTGGAGCAAGTAAATGCCCAATGAGGTGACAAGGTTAGTTTGCCACACAACTCCAAATGAAGCCACCGGGAACCACGTGTCAAATGCAACCACAGAATGCTCCTCTGTTCATTCGAAGGATACAGCTAATTTTTCTATTCTAAGGAGAGATTCTTGCAATCCTTTCTGAAGAAGATGGATTCCATTTTCCCTTAATGAACACCCCCATATATGAGATAGATTCTGTCTACCACATTTGGAGAGACTGCACTAGATTATGCAGTCTCATGCCAGTGTAAATTTTGTGAAATCAGTGGGATTTGTAGCTGTAGAGCTAAGAGCTTTACTTGGGCTCACTAAATTTCTCTTTCATTGTAATCTATTCAATGTGGCTTGTGGATTTTACAAGTCCTGGGTGATTTTTGCATTTGGATCTCCCCTGTGAACTATATAACTCAGAAGTCTCACCAGGGTTAAACTTGCTGAACACATGTTAACTCACATTCAAATTGCTCCTGTCAGATCCACCTGCTTCTGAGAGTCAGATGATTTAGGATTGTTGGGTTTTGCTAATTCCTTCCACTTTTGGCCAAACCATCCCTTTCAGGGCTTCTGCCAACACTAATGCAGAACATGTGCCGATATGGAGCTCTGTTCTCCAAAAATAGCAGGAGAATGATCAAGAAGCTTCATTTAAGTGCAGACCCCCTTCAGTGTATAATTAACACTAAATTATGGAGAGCCAGAGTGCTGATTTGTGAATAGCATCTGCTGGCCTTAGTCTGGCAAACTCTACTGTTTTTTTTTTTTTTTTTTTGTAAACAACATTAAACAATCCCAAAGATGAAGAAGCAAATGTACTGTTGAGAGCCTACAGCCATCTGTTAAAGCAACACAAATGAAAGATGGGAGGATCTTGTCTTCTAGTATTTACCCCTCAAATTTCAATAGCTATTTTATTAGTTAATTGACAGTGACTTACATTTGCAGGCATCTGGGGCAGAGAAAGGCCTTCTGAGATCTCGGTAGAAGCCTGGCTTGCAACGTTGGCAGTGCTGTCCTTCAGTGTTGTGTTGACAATTATCACAGACACCACCACTGCGATTCCCTGAGGCCAGCCATGCGTCCATGTCAAAATGACAAGTGCCAGCATGCCCATTACATTTACATGCTGGGATCAAGCCAAAGGGAACAAAAAGGCTCATTAAAATAGGAAAGATCATGGTGTGTATAAAAGGTTAGTGCAAATGCGGAAAAACGCTCAAACAGCAGCAGGGCGCCTGACAGACTTGCTGAGTCCCTAGCAAGATGAGGGGGGAGGAAGCCTGGCTCCACACTCTTGGAAGGAGCAGGGCCTTGTGTGGAAGGGTCCAGGTGGGGGGCTAGCCTCCCCCAGCCAGTCCTTTAGCACAGCCCAGAGTGAAACGCATGGGGCTGCAGCGGTGATTTAAAGGTCCCAGAGCTTTGGCCACTGCAATAGCAGTGGCCAGGAGCTTTGAGCCCTTTCAAATTGCTGGGCCCTGGGGAAGCTGCCCCCTCCCATCAGCAGGCTTTTATAGAAGCAGCTACAATAGCAAAGGAAATCAAATGTAGCTACAGAGCAGCAAATATCTTTTAAACAATTCTCAGTTATATCATCACTTGCATTTCCAGTATAACTAAATGTTCAAGGAATCTTGCAGTGCCCTGTAGGGATGCACTGAGTTATACTGGTTTGAGTCTAATGACTTAGGGTTTCAGTTTTAGTAATGTAAGTCCTCTGACATCTTAATATTGCTTTTTTCCTTCATTTTCTTAAGCATGGCTCTTTAAACGTACAGAATTAACATCTATTCTAACATAAATGGATTGTGGTTTAGTAGATACGGTTTTGAGTAACACGCAGAATGATCATGCAAGAAAATAATATGGATTCTGGCATGTGTTGAAGGTCCTTGCAAATAAAAAATAAAGCATTCAAGACCAAATGTTTGCACAGTGGGCTTCATTTATACATTCAAATGTATAAAGTACTTTTACATTATCCCAAAACATGCCAAACCAACCTAATTGCCATCTTTGAGAGGGTTTCTGTCATAGTGGATGAAGGGAAGTAGTAGATGAGTTATATCTTGATTTTACTAAGGCTTTTGATATTGTCCTACATGGCATTCACTTTAGCAAACTAAATGATGTTGAGATGAAATTACTATTCAGATCAGTGCATAACTGACTGAAAGATTGTATACTTAAAGAGTGGTTATTAATGTTTCGATTAATTGGGTCAAATTGTGTGGGTGTATGTAGTTGGGTCCCATAGATGTCAGTCTTAGGCTCAGAATAATGACTGGGATGATGGAGTGGAGAGTATGCTTATAAAATTTGCTCATGACACCAAAATGGGAGAGGTTGCAAACACTTTGGAGAACAAGACCAGAATTCAAAACAACCTAGACATATTGGAGAACTGGTCTGAAATCGACAAGAAGAAATTCAATAAAGACAACAGCAAAAAATTACATTCAGGAAAGAAAAATCAAATGCAAAACCACTAACTACAAAATGGTGTTAGTATTGCTGAAAAGGAGGAGGGGATTATGGTGGATCACAATGTAAACATGAGTCAACAATGTGATGCAGCTGCAAAAAGGGTTAATACTATTCTGAGGTGTGTTGTATGTAAGACACCGGAGGTAGCTGTCCTGTTTTACTAAGCACTGGTGAGGCCTCAGACGGAGTACACTGATTTTGAGTGCCACACTTTAGGAAAGATGTGAACAAACTAAAGCAAGTCCAGAAGAGAGCAACAAAAGTGATAAAAGGTTTAGAAAGCCTGACCTGTGAGAAAAGATTTAAAAAAACATGACAACTTTAGTTTTCAGAAAAGACGATGGACGGGGGACCAGATAACAATCTTCAAATATGTCAAGGACTGTTATAAAGCGAATGGTGAACAATTGTTCTCTGTGTGCACTGCAAGTAGGACAAAAAGTAACTGGCTTATCCTTTACCATGGGAGATTTAGGTTAGATATTAATGAAAAACTTTTAAACTATGCAGTTAGTTAAACTATGCAATCAGCTTCCAAGGGAGGTTGTGGAATCCCCATCATTGGAGGTTTTAAGAACAGGTTGGACAAACACCTGTCAAGGATGGTCTTGGCATGCTTTGTCCTGCCACAGCAGAGGGGCTGGACTTGATGGCTTCTGGAGATCCCTTCCAGACCTACATTCTATGGTTCTGTGATTTTTATTCACAAATATTGTTACTTCTAGAAAATGACACTTCCATCAAAACCTTTAATTATTTTATTTTTTACTTTCAATTTAGAACACTGAAAAAGTGCTCAAATGCAACCAAAAGCAGCATCTATTTTTAAGTCAAAAGTAAGAGGGAGTAGCATTGGGAAGGTGAATGGATTTGTTCAAATTATGTGTCTCTGTATACATGCAGAGAGCGGAGCCAGGGACTCAGCAGCTGAACCAGGGATTTGGCTAGAAATGTCCAGAGACATCCAAGTATGTAGTAGCTACAAAGCAGATTCTGTAAATTTCTTAAATCTTCATAGAAAGCCATCATTATGGTTAGGCAGGTCTTACATAATCTCTCTCTGAGATATGAGCCAACCACAGCTCAGCAGAAAATGTCGAAAATACAAGAGCAACTGGGAGACTGTGAGGGAGAGAGAAAGAAGAACATGATTCATGGGCAGAAGGTTTGGCTTTGAACCTTTGGACTGAAAAAATAAACTACTGTAGTATAAAGAACAAGGGTTACAGATGCACATGCTGGAGCATTCTCCCAATCATTGAATATTCCAAAATGAAACATAGGTTGCAGTCAGCTCATGCCCCTATCTAGGAGCCTCTCTAAATACAAATAATACCACAGCAATGCACTGGCCAATAGTTCCATCTCCCCTAACTCCTCCAAAAGCCAAGAAAAAACATGAAAGATGGCAAATCTGAGCTATTTCAGGCCAAGGCAGGTGGGCATTCCTTAGGCCTTTCTGGAGAACTTTCTGTGTATAGCAGCAATGACTAGAGTGGTAGATATATTGGGTGTGGCCACTTAGAACACCTCAGAGCTGATTTTTCTAGAGTTTCTAACTACCTACAACACTTACTGCCAGGCTTAACTCGAAATAAGCGACGCAAACTGACTTATATCAATTGCATATCTTATTTTGAAATTAGGAGCATCTACACAGTACTTATTTCAAAACAGAGCACCCTTCCTCTGACTTCCCTTACTCCTAGTACAATGAGGGTTACAGGAGTTGGAGTAAGAAGTCCTCCAGCTCGACATTATGTCAAAATAACTGCTTGTAGTGTAGACGTGGACTATGTTATTTCAGAATAACACTGCTGCATAAACATAGCCTTACTGTCTTCATTAGGAATTACAAGTGCTTAGCAACCCAGAAATCCAGCTCTAAAAGTGAAAAGGGAAGCACCCAGAACTTACATGGACACTTTAAAAAATGTTGGCCTTAATTTTTAACATTGGCTATTAAATGCCAACATTTAAAATCTTCTGGCAATACTGAAAAATGGCAAAATAATCCCCCCAAACAAAAGTATATCTGCATTCATTTATAGTGTATCAGCCAAACAGCTGTTAGTTGTGTCTGACTCTTCTTTATATAAAAAAAGCCAGAAAATGAAAGCTGCCCCAACTCTTTATTTGAAGTTCTGTCTCTCATCCAGTGTTCAATATGCTCTGAGCTGTTCTATGCCTATAACAGAAGCCCAACATCTCAAGCAGTTGTGCTTTGATTCCACAGGAAAGCCAAGCAAATACCTAACATGTTCTCGGTAGAGTTTACATGCTAGCAGCTTTGCAAACAGACAAGTTACCAATGTTTAAACACGCAGTGAGCACTGACGTCCATTCTCGAGTTCACAAACAGCTGTCTGTCGTCCGGCTATTGGCTCCCTTTTTGAAATCTCAGAAAAAGATGTGTGGTAAGGAATTTCATTTATGCTGACATTCTTGAGGCACTGTCATGAGTTGGTTACTTACATCGGCATTCTTTTGGGGCTCCAGTTTTGCCATTTGCAGCCTGCCAGGGCTGGTCATTGTAGAGCGGAGCACAATGCTGACAGTGAAGACCTGCTGTATTGTGCTTACACATGCACCTTCCATGGACCTAGAGAAGGAAAACAGAACAAAGATCATTTACTGAATAGACTGCAAGGTCTCTGGGAGCAGCGACTGTGTCTTTATATGTGTTTGTACCACACCTAGTTCAATGGAGTCATGCCCTGAGTTCTGGGCACCTCTGTAATAGTTAAATAACTCATACAACAGAAAAAGGGCCTGCATAGAATCTTCCTCACTAGTGTGAAGCCAGTCCAGGGGTAAATAGTCTGCACTTGCGCTTTCAGACATAGATACAAATACTCTTCTTGGGATTTTCAAAGCACTATTAGTTGAGGAGTTCTAGCAATGGAATGAACTTCCAGAGGAGAATAGGTGAAGCCCAGAGTCTGACTGTCTTTTGAAAACAGTCCCAAACCTTCCTCTTTGAAAAAAAAAATCTTCCCACCACAGTAAGAATGACACTCACAACACAGACACACACAAACATAGAGCTTTTATCTTGCAAGGGGAGAAGAGCCAGAGATGCTGTGAAATCCACTATGGATACTGTTGCTATTGGCTAATGTGGAAGGTACACAGATAACATGGTGATGGGCGGCGCGGCAGTATAAAATCCCAAAACAGATAGATTATAATATAGTTTTAGTAACAGGCTCTCTCAGTTGCCATAGTTTATCATGTACCACTCTCTGAAAGCCATTCGTATGGCTACACATTTAGGGCCAGATTTGCTGATGGTACATAACATCTGAAAAGCCTAGTGTAAGGAGAACCCTCGGGTGAGCTAAACCCTACCAACCCCGCTTCTAGTTGCTAGCATAATGAACACATTAGTGCTGTGTCTAGACTGCATCCCTTTTGTGGAAAAGGGATGCAGATTAGACACATCGCAATTGCAAACGAAGCGGGGATTTAAATCTTCCCCGCTTCATTTGCATGAACATGGCTGCCGCTTTTTTCCGGCTCGGGGCTTTGCCGGCAAAAAGCACCAGTCTAGACGGGGATCTTTCGGAAAATAAAGCCTTTTCCAAAAGATCCCTTATTCCTCTTAAAAAAAGGAATAAGGGATCTTTCGGAAAAGGCTTTATTTTCCGAAAGATCCCCGTCTAGATTGGCGCTTTTTGCCGGCAAATCCCCGAGCCGGAAAAAAACTGCAGCCATGTTCATGCAAATGAAGCGGGGGAGATTTAAATCCCCGCTTTGTTTGCAATTTCGATGTGTCTAATCTGCATCCCTTTTCTGCAAAAGGGATGCAGTCTAGACACAGCCTAGAGGTGTGACAAAGGAAAAGCAGGTGGGGCCAGAGTGCTACTGTGATGTGGCTATTCTAAGATCAAGTTTACACTGTGGGGCAATGTCGATCTATGATATAAAACTACACGTAGCTGGAGTTCTATGTACCTTAGGCTGTGTTGCCACGGGGTCTCCACTGTGAGCAACTGATGGGAGGAAACTCTCCCATCGACTCCCCTTACTCTTCTTGATCCAGTGGAGTAGCAGAGTGGAGGAGGGAGCAAATGGCAGTCCACTTAGTGAGTCTTAGACCCACTAAATTGACCCCTTGGAGATTGATTGCCATTGTACCGATTTCCTGGTAAGTTTGGAGCTGTTCTCAGAGCTAGCATGGCCTTGTTAGGGCTCCTGCAGTCCAGCCGAAGCATCACCAATGCCTAGTACAGCAAGATTTCTTTGTTTTACACACAACACTCCAGAATGGTATTAGCCTTTTGTATTACTGCATCACATTGTTGACTCATATTAAAATTGTGATCTACTATCTTTTCAGCAGGCCTACCACCTACTAGGGATGTCAGTGACTAGTCAAGTAGTCGACTACCCGATAAGCATATGCTTATTGGGTAGTCGAATGACTACTTGGCTAGTTGCTTCCCCACCTTGCTGCTTCTATCAGCGATAGCAAGGGGGTGAGCAGGAGCCAGTGCTGGGGGGAGCCAGTTTAAAAGTGAGTTCCCCCCAGCACCATCTCCATGGGGGAGCAGGGGAGGTAGAGGCGCAGCAGGGAACCGGGGGGAAGCTTCAGTTTCCCCCTTACTGACTAATCAAGTAGTCAATGGAAATTCCATCAATTACTCAATTAGCTGATTAAACGAAATTTAACATCTCTACCACCTACCCAGTTATTCTCAATTGTGTAGTTGTGCATTTGATTTTTCCTTCCTATGTATGGTACTTTGCAGATGTCTTTATTGAATTTCATCTTGCTGATTTCAGACCAGTTCTCCAACTGGTCAAGGTTGTTTTGGATTCTAGTCCTGTCCTCCAAAGTACTTGTGTAAACCTAGGACCTCTGGAGCTTAGTGTAGGTGCTTCTACAGCTTTAGCTATAAAGCCAGCTGGCTTTCACTCTAGGCTGTAGAGCTCCCTTGTTTTCATCTCTCGCTGTAAATGGTCTAAGTGCCACTACATGGGACAGTAAACCACATACGGTGTGTGGGTTACACTTGCAACAACTTTTTAACTTCCACATGATTAAATTGGTAAAGGCATCCTAGCATTTAAATTGAGGTGATCAAACAGAGGTATTTTATTTTTAAATAAAATTTTACCTAGAGCTGAAATACAAAAATAAATGTAAAACAATATTCAGGGCATTTCAAACGAGAGTCTTTCTTCAATATCTGACCAATATTCAAGCTCAAAAGATCTTTCAGTGTTTCATTTTTGCTCAAAATGAGAGTTGAACAACACCTAATTACTCAACTTTTCCCCTTCTCTAGCTATGCTTAAAATTATGTAGAACAGAAGCTAATAAATCAAACAAGCTTGCTTAGATTATGTCCTATTAAAATAATGAGCTAGATTCACGGGTCCTCTCTGGCTGATTTGTGCTGCTCCAACATTACACAGCAGCTGCAAAGCCAGCTTGACCAGCTAGATTTATGGCTGCTTTAGACTTCAGAAGCAATTGAAAGCAGCCAGTGTGTGCTGAGGAATATGGCTTAATATATGGATATGTTTTTAATTACTGCTGTAAAATGGTACCTTACATTCTTTTGTTTGTGCTTTTATAACCTTCATTCTCAGTGCACTGGGCCTCACAATTAAACAGAGATTCTGGAGAAAAATGTGTAAGTAAACATGGGACTATTATGAACTTCTGGAAGAAACTAAACAGAAAGAGGCCTTGAACATGCTGTAAACAACCCCTGCTTGGTACATACAAATGCACGCGCACACACACAGAATGGGCAAACAGTTTTATCTAAATATTGTTTGTCTCAAAAATGTCCAGCTGCAGAATGGCAGAAATGTACTACACCTATCTTGATCTGGTGACTGTATTTTTGTTTGACTGAGTAGGTAACATTTTGATGATATTTCTATTGCTTGGCATTGTGTGACACTATGGCTGTTTGGCAATTAGACTGTAATGTCACTCCGGTGTGACTTTTGAAAACATAGTTCTCTTGTGGGGTAAGCTGTACTGCCGAACAATTGCAAACAGAAAGGTGATGGGTGCTGCAGTGAAGGTACCACTCTATGTCAGCCCCAAAATGTCAATAACAGGGAAGGCTTGATCGTTGATCAGAGTTGAGGGGCACTGGCAACACTGTCTCTGACAAATTAACCAGTGATGGAAGCTTTCTCTTCCGTAGCAAGACCCCTGCACTGTCTGATTCACTCGGTGACATCACAATGCAGTATGTGTGTTTACTGGAGGCTCGTTGCAGTTTAACTAGCCTCATGAACACAGTTGATGTGTGATCCTGTGTAGTGACAGCCCAACAGTGGCCCTATACAGCAGCAGCATCAAAGATCATGATGCTGGTCAGCTGTTCGCAGCCAGCCAAAAGTGATACCCGCTCAGCAACAGAACAGCTGGTGACTGAAAAGACAAGACTGTTTGGTGCCCAGCTCTGCATGGGCAAGAGGAGGGATGCTTTTCCAGAGTACCAGGGTGAGGCAGGGAAAAGGAAGCCAGAAAGTGGGATGGGGAAAAGGTGGAAAGGAAGAAGAAAGAATGGGGAAAGGAACTGCTGTTCCAGCCACGCTGTTGCTGTGCCTGAGTCTCAGAACTAAACATGACGTACCAGGCCCTGCAGAGCTCACTTGTTATCTTAGATCATGGACACGGAAGGACCTCACACTACCTTGACTTACCTGTACCTCTCCCACTGACATTTGCAGACACTGCCAGCTGCTGCTCTGTGGCAAGGAAAACTAGACCTTTCACCAAATCTTTCCTGATATCCAGGTAAAATCTCCACACTTCTAAGTCTCAAATTGTACCCCTATATTCTGATTTTGTTCCATATTTTTAATACATTATTTCATCCTGGTGAGTACTTTTTTGGGGCCTTCTGTAGGCAGCAGGAGCATATTACTATGCAATCTCCTTTTTCAAGGCTTATCGTGCTGAGCTGACTTTGCATTTCCATAAGCCTCTCCCACAACCCCCCACATTATCCCTCTTCCAAAACCAGAGTATCAAATCCAGTGCAGAACAGTGGGGCCTGGAAGCTGTTACACCAGATGGCTGTTTGGGGATCTGATTGTAATGAGTTTGGTGGGCTCTGTCTCCGTTGGCATGGCTAGGAGGCTACTTAACCCACAACTGGCATATTTTAGCACCCCATTGGTGATTTCAGCTGAAAGGCTCAGGGCAGAAGGACCCGTATCACCCTTAGGGTATGTCTACACTACCCCGCTAGTTCGAACTAGCGGGGTAATGTAGGCATACCGCACTTGCAAATGAAGCCCGGGATTTGAATTTCCCGGGCTTCATTTGCATAAGCCGGCCGGCGCCATTTTTAAATGCCGGCTTGTTCGAACCCCGTGCCGCGTGTAGCCGCGTGGCACGGGGTTCGAACAAGCCGGCATTTAAAAATGGCGCCGGCCAGCTTATGCAAATGAAGCCCGGGAAATTCAAATCCCGGGCTTCATTTGCAAGTGCGGTATGCCTACATTACCACCCTAGTTCGAACTAGGGTGGTAGTGTAGACATACCCTTAGGGATCATCCCTCAGATAAAGGACAGTCGCAGTGCAGAGAAGTTTGTGCTTCCTGTGTTGTATGGATCGGTGA